CCCTCAAGGTCTATGAAATCCCACACATTGCTCTGCGTGGCACATTTTGAATGAGCTGCATAAAAACAACCTTCCTTGACGCACGAATATCCTCCATACTCATTAACGATCTTTCTACGACAAATCCCACAACGCCAATCTCCTTGGTGAAAAGAATGGGTGAAAGAGATTCGATGGGGATGGCGAGATATCCGTATGAGACGTGGTAAACTTAGACAACTTTGATGGACCACATAATCGCACGGGGGGCATAAATAGAAAGGACAGCTTGAATGCGTCAAGGCGCACAAGTTGCATGTGAAAGAAGCCCGAGTTGGAAAGCAAGTGTATGCTCATGCCACTTTGGATTGTCTATAGATAAGACTCGTGGTTTCAAGACACAAGTATAATCAATAGCAAAGTTGCAAGCCAAGCAATAATAAAATGCTCCTCTGATACTATGATCACAACTATAACATCTCTTCGTGTCATTACTATTGATGTCCAGCAAGACAAGCTGAAGAGAATGTCTTGGATGAAGAGGGTGTTTGATCTGAAGTGGAGCTTTTTCATAATCTTCATGGTTCTGGCCATTGCAACCTTTGCAAAAAAAATGGGTAGCGCCTTTTCCTGTTGAACTAAACTTTTCCCACTTTCCATAGAGACATTCCCACTTGTTATTGCTCTTCAGTGAGATTTCCGTCAGAAAATTCTCTTCTCCTTCTTCGAATCTTACTTGTGCTTGAGGGGATAAGGAAACAAGCTTCTCCCACTTCGAATTCATAGAAATGACGAGGGAGAATATGTGATGGATGAGTGATATGAGCTCCGGCTCCGGCTCGAGAATTAATATATCATTAACGATGAACCTCAGTTGCAGGTACCAATTTGGAGAGGCCAAAGACATATTTTGAGTTATGAGTGATATGAACTCCGATAGTTGCTTCGGCTGAGAATCCAAATCTATGGAATTGAAGAAATAGACTGTTTGAGTAACGAGTGACATGAGCTCCGACAGGGGCTTCGGTTGGGAATCCAAATCCAAAGAGTTGAAGACAGAGATTGCTTGAGAAACAAGTAACATGAGCTCTGACTCCGACTTCGGCTGCGGATCCAATTCCATTGAGCTCACCACAGAGATTATATGAGTAGTGAGTAATAGGACCTTCCACTCCTCTGAAATCCCATTGATGTCGATAGACATTAGTTTCGTAATGAGTGATATGAGCTTCGACTCCAACTCTGAATCCACAGAATTGCCAAGAGATTCTCTTTTATTGCCGAATCTTAATCCATACAAATACAACCAATCATCAAACTCCAGCTCATCATCCGGCTTTGATACCGAATCCACCTTAAAGCTTAGTATTTGATCGATGAGTGATATAAGCTCCGGCCTCGGCTCGAGACTCCCTATATCATCAACGAGTGACATGGACTCGGAATCCGGCTCTGGCTCAGAATCCGAATATATAGAATTGACGCGAGAGAATTTTCGAGAAAAGAAAGATATGAGCTTCGACAGCTGTTTCGACTGGGAATCCAAATCCAAAGAGTTGAAGACATAGATTGCTTGAGAAACAAGTGACATCAGCTTCGACTCTGGCTTCGGCTGAGAATCCAAATCCATTGAGCTCACCAGAGAGATTATCTGAGTAATGAGTGCTGGTACGGGTTTCGGAGCCTCCGAATCAGAATCCGAGTCCAGATCCCACTTCATAGTGTCTTCGAGAGAGGCTAGTTGAGAGATGAGTGATATGAGCTTCGGCTCCGAATCCAAATCTAAAGTATTGGCGATAGATACTTCTTGAGAAAAGAAAGATATGAGATCCGACAGGGGCTTCGGCTGGGAATCCAAATCCATAGAGTTGAAGATAGAGATTGCTTGACTCACAAGGGACATGAGCTTCGACTCCGGTTGCGAATCTAAATCGATTGATGAGCTGACCAGCGAGATTATTTGAATTAGAAGTGATATGAACTCCGAATTCGTAGTGTCTTTGAGAGACATTAGCTGAGGAATGAGTGATCTGAGCTTCGGCCCCGAATCTGAATCCATTGAGTTGCCGGGAGAGAATTTTTGATATGTTTCTGAATGCTAATTCTACATATAGGTATTGAGATGTATATATGTTGAGATGTAACTATATGAAAATATTAAAACATAAAATCACGAGTAAATATCAAGTTTACTGACTGTCCGAATACAAAGTCAATCAATTTTCATTGATGGAGGCAAGATCGGCCTAAGAAACTTTCACATTTTCTTTTCCTAATTAAAAAACAAATGATTGAATTATTATCTTTCTTTATTTTTCTTAGCAAAATTATTGAGCGACAGCTTTGAAATTTTAATGGCGTCATGAACGTTAGTGATCTCCACATTGTTAAAGTCCCACGTCGCTTAAGACTTAGATTCTTGAAAAATATATAAATGCGTACGTTGTAATCCTTCTCTTTTAACTAATATTTTTTTGGAGTGAATTAGGCCCATAATTTTAACATACCTTATATCTCCCACTTTTTCTACTTTTGTCTAGGTAGCTTGCTTTATTATATGTAATGAATAGTTGAAAATAATTAAAAGCTGTCCAATATTACGATTTACAAGTCGTTCAAACGCAAAGTCAATGATTGATTTAGAGATAAGATAACAGATTAAAAGCACGATCGTATGACTTACAAATTTATATTCGATTTTTTTTGGGAAAAAAGAACTCGTTAAACATCAACATCATCTTTTAATAACGACTTTTACGATATAAAGAATCTATGATAGTAGTGACCCAAAAAAACTATGATTATCAAAGTAGCTAATATCATTTGGTGCTCTCCGGATCCCTTCTCAAACATTTTTCAACTTTTGATTTCTATATTACCACCGTACCTTGTGGATCTTATCTTAAGGCTCGTGGCATATAATATGCGTATTTAAAGATAATTTAAATCGTCGTGACCAAAAAAGAAAGAAAGATAATTTAAATCGTAATCACGAGTCATCTCAAGTTTTCCAGGTTGTTCGACAGCAAAGTCAACGATGGATGAGATTAGAGATCTGAATAGTTAATATTACAATTTTATTTAGCTCAGGTTTTTAAAAAGGAGTGAGGGTTAGGTCGGCCTATGCAACTTTTTCATCTTCTTAGCTTTTGAGTTTTGCCGGCATCGTCCAATAAAATATAAGAATCAGTAATTGAAATTATCGTAAAATATGTCAAAAAATACACTTGATTTAAAAGATTTTTTTTTTTTTGTATATTAGGAACATTGTATCGATCTATTTCAATCTAATGAAGGTTTCTATGCTTTACACAAAATCTGAAAATAGGCATGTGAATAACACAATACATATGAACAAATATGACTTCCCAATGCTCCATTGACGATCCGATTCTACTATTCCAGTTTGCATAGGCAAGATCGGCCTATGCAAATTTCATATTTTCCACAAAAACAAACTATTGAATGAAAACTTTTTGTTTTGTTTTGGCCAACTCGTTGAAGGAGCAGCTTTGAAATTTTGAGCATCATGAGACTAAACTTGGTGCTCTCCACATTGGTGTGTGTTTACTATGTTCTCAGGCATTGTTTCTATTTTTTATTGTTTTGTATTTTAGTCCCCGTTGCTTGCGGATCTTGCTTATTATATGCAAAGTTGAAAAACTTGAAATTAATAAAGAAGCAGTACAATATTACGAATTACAAGTCGTCCAAACGCAAAGTCAATGATAGATTTAGAGATAAAAGACAATATTACAATTTGCTAATTAAAATTCTACATCCTCTTTTAATAAAACAACCTTTTTTTTTACATTCAAAACAAAATATCAAAGTAGTCAGAGACTTATTGATGCAATTGTGGAAAACAATTTGAAAGAGAGGTTTTTAGGACAACATAATAGGAGCTGCTGGAACACATGCAGAACTGTTCCAACACGTGGAGAAAAGTGAGATTGGACACTTCTTGAATTAGAAAGCCCAATAATGATAGAGGTTAAAAGCTCACATGACATGAAACGTGAGGGTTTCGTGGTGGTAGTATAGAAGGCAAAAGGCGTTGACAAAAAGAGTTACGCGCCTAGGATTCTTTTGTGAGATGCACACATGTGTGTGTGGCGTCGTCCCACCATATTGATGGTGGTTTGTCTATGAAGATTGCAGCCGTTGAGAAGACGGTGTTGCACCNGTGCTGCTGGTTGGTTNTCAAGCATGCGNNCTTGANNCCTATCTTNNTAGTTTGTCCATGTAGAAAAGAGTGGTGGTATGCCATATAGCAATTGTAGGTTGCGGCCTTTTCTAATGGATTGATTCTGGACTAGGTCCCGGGATGTAGGAAAAACCGAACCTCGTGAAAAAACTCTATGTGTTCTTTATTTTATGTTCATACATACTCGTTACAAACACAAACGTAGAGATCTAGACACAAACCGCTTTTTCACAATTCATACCATTGAAAACGATAAATGTTTGATTACGCAGTACATACACAAAATAGTAAACGGAAATAACTGGTGTCTTCAAACGAACTTGATGTCGAGATCTCTGATAGTAATTAAAGATGATGAATTCTGAGTTATCTAGCTAGTAAAGAAACCTCCCAGAAAGGTTAAAAGAATTAGTTAATAGTAGATATTCACTTAATCTAATAAAAGACCAAATCAAAACCTCTCCAAGAACCATAACGTGTAAACTACAACAGTTTCGTGATTAATATGCCACAAGTATTATTAACTTTAGTCCACAACGTGGTGGGCCCGTGGTTGGTGTGGGCCCAGGCGAAGGGAGCAACTACTTCTTCCCTTTGGTTCGATGCCGCCAAAGATT